TAATATATCTGCGTTATTCCATACCTGTGTGCGAGTCCTTCTTTATTGGTTCTACCTTGGACTATCACCGTGGTACAAAGAACCGGACCATAACAGTACCCCTACGACCCTACGGTTCACGGGCTAAAAAAATAGATAATACCGTAATTCAGTGCGGCAATGCGTACGACTCAAACTTTCGGTCCAATTTGCAACAACCGTTTATATGAGTATCTCATAGCGATTTATTCATTAAATGATCCAGTAAAATCTAAACAGAGAAGGTGTTTGAGGACCATGATCGGACTATACCATTAGGAAATCCAACTAAAAGTCCATTGGGCATAATATCGATTTTCTGAATAAATATTCCTCGTATATTCTAGAAACATTGGACGATCAATGATTGAAACGGCTCCTTACACTCAGAATCTGAAACGCAGCTGAAGGCGGTAGAGAAAAAATACTTTATTAGTTCATCGCCAGATTTGTCCACCTTTCGTAAATGAGCAATCGAGCTTCGATCTGTTGAGAGGATCGATAGTTTTTGCAAAAACTCAACTGCCCACTACTTTCGAAAGAAGGTGTCTGTTTAGTTACACTAAACTAATAATCCAATCAATGATGAGACTGTACGAAGACAGAGACAAACGTTTACTGTTTAACAAGTATTTCTTAATTTTATAGCTTTGTATTGGGGATACTAAAATCAAACAACTAGAGAAATTTAAATATCTGGGAAGTTTTTTAACAGAGGACAGGAACTGCGATTAGGGTACGGGTTAAGAGTTAGTGTTAGGGTTATGGTTAGATTTCAGGTTAGGGTTAGGTTTCGATTAGCAATTAGTATTAGGTTTAGGGTTCGGGTTAGGAATTAGTGTTAGGGTTATGGTCAAGGCTCGTGTTAGGGTTAGGCTCATGTTTCGGATTATGATTTAGGGTTGGGATTAGGGTTAAGAGTTAGTGTTATGGTTCGGGTTAGGGGTTAAGTTTGGGGTTACGGTTAGGTTTAGAGTTCGGGTTAGGAGTTAATGTTAGAGTTAGGGTTAGGGTTCGTGTTAGGGTTAGGTTTAGGTTTAGGATTAGGGTTAGGAGTTAGTTTTAGGGTTAGGGGTTAGGGTTAGTTTTAGTGTTCGGTTTAGGTTTAGGGTTATGTTTTGAGTTAGGAGTTTGTATTAGGGTCAGGCTTAGTATTAAATGCTGTCAACTGTGAACTTGTTATGTATAAAAAAGACATTAACAAGAAGCTAAAAATCATCAAATAGGGATTTTATTGTTTGTAAACTGATTTGATGTCATTAAAAGAAAAACAAACAAAAAAAACAGTAAAATGTCATTGTTTTTCCTGAGCATTTCCCAGCAATAACGAGTGCATCGTCATTTACGCTAGGCCGCAAATACCTCCGTAGATATCATCCTATGTAGCACCAAATTCTTCATGCGTCGCAAAACCGATGCTGATGCTGCTAAAATGGAGCGATGCTTATTCAAATAAAGATACAAAACAATATTTCAAAGTTCATGACAACATATAAGATTTCCATTTTTATATTTTTCAAACAGACCAGAGATACAAACAGATACAAAATAATGAAATATTATTTATCAAGAATTTACTATAAGAAAAAAATGTTTGTATTTTTAGGGTTCTCTGAAAGGTGGCACTACAGACAGATACCACTTGAGATGGTACTGAAAAAATTCTAACAGACATGGTATCGCAAGTAGAAGAATACACAGAAAGGAGTTGTTCGGTGGTTAAATGTTTTCTTTTAAGGAGTTCAATTATTCAGATTTATGGTTCTAGAGTGGTCACAGGTGTTGACCATGTTCACCATAGTCTATGAATACAGAATACAGCGCAGTACGCAATCTGTTCAATGAAACAACGTTAAAGATTAACACTCACGAGTCAGACACTCTACTGAATCTGACTATTTCGCCAATACCACCAGCAGTTGTTCCGTAATTCTTCAGTCTTCGATATCAAAGGCTGGCAGTGAATATTCGGGAAAAACATGTCCGCCTTTATACACGTCGCATTGAATATTTTGAGCCTTATGATTGGTTAAGCCCTCTATAGGTGAACTATAAAATGTCAGCTCATTTTGGTTGGCTCACTAGTACACCAGGGTACCCAAAAAATTTCAACAACAGGGACCAAGTATCTTTAAGCGCGGAGCCTCATTCGGGGTTGAAAACCATTTTTTTCTTATCTTCTATTCAGAAATTATGAATGATCCTCCTTCGCAAAATTTTTCTCACTTCTATTCCATCTACAGCAGAGAAATAACTTCCTTTTTGTGTCCAACTTGCCATATGATTGCTCCTTCAGTTCTAAATTTTCTGATGTAACTTTAAGAAGACATAATGAAACCTTCATCAAATCTCTAGGTAAAAGATGTTCCCAGGTCAAATGAGACAAATAATATTAGACAATCTTTTTCTCATTCATTTCACCTCAAGCAAGGCGATAGTGCTACTAAGATGCAAATGGATTACTGGACGTGAAAGGCAATGAGAGTAAATGGCAATAAAAGAACAGACTATGGAAAGACAGGATGTGGCGATTGATACGGCGTTTATATCTGAAGATTGTAGTTGACAGGGAATTAAGCATTCGAAAGAAAATCCCACATGAAAGAAGTGCGAGAAATAGAACTATTAGAATATAACTGATGGTTACATCTAGATAGTTCAACAGTAAAACGATGATACCTAATTGCCAATCCAGTAGTACGTTTAAATTCATGCAGCCAGTATACTAAGGGTGAAAGCTCATTAGAACAATTACCATTTTTATAGAAAATACGTAACGACAGGAAAAATGACTGAAGTCAAGATTCAGGGTCAGGAGCGATAGCATTACAGACCATTCTTTGGATTTTGTCGAAAATAACAAGCAGGAATAAATAGCAGAAACACCAGACCAGATATAGCAGCATTATTCAATAGATGAACGAATGGCGGATTTATAAATGTGATTGACAAATAGGAAAATAGTTGAAAATAGGAAAATAGTTGAGCTTAACTGATGGCATGTTAGGATTTTCACGGTATTTCCATGGAAAGTACAGATATGTGTTACAGTGGTACCCATATGTAATCAGGGAGTTAAATTAGCTCTAAATGATTTTTCTGGAACTGAAGCAGCGGGTGTTTTATGGCCAAAAGAAACATTTAGAGGTCCTCAAAGCGTTCACCCGCTCTCCACGAGTAGTGAAGTAAACGAAAACTTTAAGGATCAAGTGCCATTTAGTGGGAGAATGTTCCGGTTGCGGGTTTATGCTATGTAGTCAGACCGCATAGCAGAAAAGACAGCTAAGAACCAGCCGTCTTAGTAGGTCATGAGACGTTGGGAAGGAGATGTAGAGAGTCTAAATAAAGAGACCGGCCTTTAACAGTTTACGATAGAAATATTACGTTCTTATCTACAGTTTGGGAGAGAAGACGAAGCTACTAGCGAAGATTATTTAACTGTTACTTAAATACTCTCATAGACGTTGAGGAGACAATGCCTGACTAGGTGGTCCCCTGACAACTATAATCTTCGTCTCTTAATGAATAATCACCGTCCTGGGTATGACGATAAACTATATATGCGTCCTGAGTAAGACGATAAACTACGTCCAATGGCAAGGCGTCTGATCAGGAAGATTTGAGGAGTGTGGACCACCTCTTAATTGCTGGTGTTCCCAGGTCCACCTTAACCCCGGGTGGTAGCAGCTAATAGGATCCCAAATATGGGTAAATAGTTAGCCCCAAACTAGGGTTAAAGCCCTATGTAAGTCTAAAAATAAGTTTTAATACCAGAAATGCTTTGTAAAAAAAAAAAATTGCCAGCAATACATTTAAAAAAACAAAGAAGATATTACCAGCTATACAATTTTTGAAGAAAAAATATTACCAGAAATAAAAAAATTTGTCGGGATTAAATAACCAATTGAGGTTGATATGCCGTAAAACAAACCAAACAAAACCAAAAAAAAAATGATCAGTATAATAGAACAGGATTGGTATTTTCTCTTCTTGTTTTGATATTAAATATTTTCGTTGTCCTTATGAACGCAAACCGAATTTTCTTCCAAGTTTTGCGCATACCGACAGAAACGAGAAACACGTTGGGTGACATTTCCAGACAGTTAAAAACTGTGCTAGAAAACCCTTTGTATGTTTACACGCCTCCTTTCCGAATATATTTAAGCAATTGATCGTTTTTATGCTAAAACTATCAAACAAGAATCTTCGGTGTGGTTGGGGATTCCCTTAATATCCTCAAATAAAATCAGTAAAGTCTAGCACATGAGAAGCTTGCTAGCAATCGTGTTAGTGTGGGTAGCCATCGTCAGATCCGACATAACAGTAAAATAATAACGTTTATTCCAGATCGACGTGAAGAAAGTTTCCTTTTTGCAAAAAAAACAAAACAAAAAAATGCTTGAAAATATATTCCTCATTACAAGGTTAACAATAAAGAAAGAGTTACTTGGATTTTAACACAAAAGATAAACTGGCAAACATAAACATAGGTGCGTCCTGAGGAAGAGGGGAAAAAAAGGAAGATAAAACAAAAAAAATAGGAAAAAGAAGTAAGTGGAAAGAAGGAAATAGGAAGGAGACAGATTGTAAAAGACTGTAGTAATAAAATAATTATCCCATCTCCCCTCTCGCTTGTATCCATCCATCACAATAAAATTAGCGTTATTTGGGGGGGGCGCTTAAGCTAAGATAGTATAATAAAGCTTCTAAAGTAGGTTTAAAGTTAGGGTTAGTAAAAGAATGCTTCTACTTAGAGTTGTTGTTATACTACAGACACAAAGAAAAATATAATGAAGAGAGGGTAGAGAGGAAATTATGGAGATATATATGAAGAAAATAAAAATAAAAGGAAATGTCAGACTGAAAGGAAAAAATACAGAAAATCAGCAAAATGAATAATAATAATAATAATAATAATAATAATAATAATAAAAAATAAAATATGAAGCATAAGTAAAAAGGAAGGAAAATAAAAACACTAACTAAACAGAAAAGGAAGAGAGAACGGAAGAAGATGAAAAAGAAGAAATAATAATAAGCAAAAAAGTAAATCCGGACAAAGAAAAAGAAGAAAAAGGAATAATAGAAATAGAAAAAGATGATGATAATGGAACTAGAAGAGAAAGGAGAGACGTATTTCGAAAAAAAAAAAAAGCAGCAGATTGCTTTCAAAGGTACACATTCCAACGCGTAACACGTCTAACGTTCTCAACGAGCTTATCATACATGTTACCACAATGGCAATAACTTATTTCTCTAATACGCATGCGCATATTTACTTAGTCAGACGCATGCGTACTTACTGTCACACTCACCATAGACACACGAATATTTAAGGAACACACAGACATACGCAGAGAAGCAATCATGTCCACAGATATGCACAGACAGTTTTTAGGCGCAAATTGTTGGTTCAGGCGGGGAAAATATAAGTGATTGTAGTTCGCTTGGTTTATCCAATTTATCGCAGCTTGGTGCTAGCAGGAATTAATTCTAGGTTTGACGAAGAGGAAACTGTATAAAAGGAGAAGAGAAATAACTTACAAAGTCAAGTAAAAAACTAGGAATGGAAAAAAAAAATGACGATGAAAAACAGACTCAACGTAATAACAAGTGAAACAGGAAATAAAAAAAAAATTCTGTGAAATGGAGTAATCAATATGAAGAGGAAATGAAGACGATGCCAACAGAAAATACTGCAATGACAATGGAAGAGAAAAGGATGAGGAAAATCATGTAATAAGGGGTTAGGTAAAGAACAAGACGAAAAGAAGAAAAGTAATAGAAAAGAGAGGTTGGTAGAAAAATAAGAAATAAGAGTAAAAAGAAAGATTAAAAAAGGAGAAAGAGAAGAGAAAGAAATGCAAGAAAAGAGAAAAAGAACAACAAGAAAGAAGACGATAAAAACAAGAAATAGAAAAAAAAAAAGAAAGAAGAAGAAGAAATGGAAGAAGAAAAAAAACAACAACATAAAGGAAACTAGATACAGGATGCGAAAATATGAAAAAGGTATCAAAACTAAAATTAAAACGATGAAATAAAAAAATAAGTTAGATAAAAGCAAGAAGAAATTAAAGACGTAACAATGAAAATAAAAATCAAAACAAAATGGCCGAAATTAGTTTGTGAAGAAAACAAAGACGAAGTAAATTAAAAGATGAAATAGAAGATATGGTAGATATATTACGCATTAAGAAGAACAAAGATATAAATAAACTGCGAAGAAACATATAAACGAGCAACTGAAAAGCAAAAACTAAAAATGGAAGAAAATAGAAGTAAAAACATTAAATAACAAGTACAATAAAAACTTAAACAAAAAACAAAGAAGAAATTGAGAAAGGAAAGAAAACACAGATAAAAGAAAGAAACGGTCAAAAAAGAAAGAGAAAGCAGACGAAATAAGAGACAAAGTAAATCTATAAAAGTCCCTTACACATTTGTTCTTTTTTTATGTTTTTATTCTGTGTTTGTCTTGGGCGAATTCTTTTTATTTTGTCATTTTCTGTCTTTACGTCAGCAGAATGAAGTGAGGAGAGGATCGGGGAAAAAAAAAAAAATTCCTCGCCTCAAACATCTTCCGCATGAAAACCGGCCGTAATTTAGTGGCGAAGATAGCTGGGTCGTGAACATTTAATTTGTCTCTATCATGTCTAGTGCTACCTCTGATGACTGGGTTGGCAGTGGCAGATCCGACGGGGATAGTGTCTGGGCAAGTGGTGGTGGTGGGGGGGTCATACTAAAGCATTCAGGGTAGTGTCGCGTGATTCTCACAGTGACTGAAACTAGTGTCTTGCTGAAGACCGAAGCGTCACTGTTGAAGCCGATTTCATTTGGGCAACTGAATAAAGACCACCACCACCACCTCACACAGGCATATATATATATATATATATATATATATATATATATGAAGAAAACTGTACATCTTGTTTCAACGTTAAAAAATTTTAACGTTTCATCAGGTGGGAAATCACGATGCTATTTTTAACGCTGAAACAAGATGTACAGTTTTGTAGTGGGTATGTAAATCTTCTAATGTAGCAGTGGAGAATAAATAAATATTTATGGCTCTACTTTTGTATTGAGCTATATTTTAAATTAATGTTTTGAACGCTGAAATCATACTCTTCGTTTTTTACATTCGGATATATATATATATATATATATATATATATATATATATATATATATAGTGTAACCCGGATATAAGAGACCCAGATATAAAAAAGAACCCGGATATAAGAGAGATTTTCTCTGGTCCCAAATTAGAGCCTGTGTTAATGTATATAAATTAGACCAAACCCGGATATAAGAGACTTTTCTTCTCCGGTCCCGACAACTCTCTTATATCCGGGTTACACTGATATATATATATATATATATATATATATATATATATATATCATACAGATGTAACTTTTACAAATAATTAATTAGCAACTTTAAGGAGATTAATGACGAAATCACTTCGCTAACAAGACTTAATGATATACCTGTATATGGAAAAAAAAATTGCGCCCCGAAGATGATAATTGGAAATTGTCCAAAATACTTGGCTCGTCAATTCCAATTGGAAGCCACTCAAATATACAGCTTAAATATAAGGATCGTATTATTCAAAGAATTGATAGTATGTTAATGCCTAATTAAATTTTGCTAGCGAAGTGATTTCGTCATTAATCTCATTAACATTGCTAATTCATTCTTTGCATAAATTATTTCTTTATATAATATAAAAGCTGCACACTTTAATATATATATATATATATATATATATATATATATATATATATATATATATATATATATATATATGTATGTATGTATGTGTGTGTGTGTGTGTGTATTCCCAAAATAGATAATTATCATATAATCATAGATATATTTTTCGCTATACGAACTAATCTCCTACAAATCCACAAATGTAAATCAAATGAATAATTGAACAAGAAAGAATATTTACTTAAAGGGCTATTATGCCTTGAACCTGTGCATCATTTCAGGTGTTTTACTAGATTAAAACCATTCATTTGACTCTTCTAAAAAATGTCGTGGGGTACGCTCCTTAAGCCTATAAATAGATATTGATACTCTCACTTATTCTCTTTATTCTTTTACAACTTTGGATATAAGATGTAGTCGCACTCGGGAAAAATATTTTCCCACCAATGTAAGCTATCATTTTCACTATCTTACGTTCGTGACATTTTTTACTCTCCCACACTCGTATCTATTACGTAGATCTACATAAATTTCACAAAAACAAACAAACATTTTCTAATTTAAATACTTTACGAAACTGGTCTTTAAATGTTTTCTTCTTTTATTGCAATTCTGATACTTTTGTTAATACGTGAATTGTCGTTTGTTTTATGTTGTTTCGTGTTAGTTATTTATTGCTCGGACTCACATTCGAGTCCGCAGTAATTGTTACTGGAACAATAAGACAAATTAACACGTTTTCTCTATAAGTACAAGAAGCATTCCCGTAACACAAGTCATTTTTAAACCGAAAGAAGTTCGGAGAATGTATATAAAATAGATACAAAAACAAAGCGAATAAAATCTGGAAACGTATTGTATTTAATACATTTTTGAATGCTATCATCTTATGCTACATGACCACCAAAATGAATCAACAGTATATAAATGGACTGTGTCGATTTTCAAAATGGCATTAGATTTCGGGCCAAATAGTCTAGGGTCACTTACTGATAAGTCCCGCAGTATTTATATTTAATATTAGAATATTAAGCTAAGGAAAATCACCGGTAGTTTACAATATCTGGACAAATCGGCAACTTCAATTTTCTACAGACTAGAGTGAACTTTAATGTTCTCGTCTTACCATGAAGCGAATCCAAAGGAATTCTGATATTTGATTTAATTTTTGGAATTAGGTTGCATCAAGACTTTTTCAGCATCGCATTCGAAAATCCACGCGATAGGCTCTGGTCCTTATTTTATTTTTATCCGAGTTCAAATATCGACAGATAGTTGCGGATTGAAATGTACAATTATCGTGACTACGAAGAAGTTACCCTCATTTGAACAAAGGATAATCATTTAAAGTGAAAGAAAAAAAAAGAGAAGAAAAACGTCCACGAATAAGAATAAATATTTTTTCTGTCTAATCATGAAAACGTTATACAACTTCCTTCTGTCCCTAGAAATATAACGTTCATTGATATTGTGCAGTGTATCTTTGCCAATTAAGTGGTAGGTCAACTATTTGAACCCGGTGATCACAAAATAATCACGACACATAAAATCGATTGTTACTCAGTGCCCTGTATTTTATTGTCTTATGCTTCAGTGATTCTCGAATTCAAGACAATTACCCGGATTTGAGTAAAAATAGGGTTATGTGTTTGGTAATGAAGGTCTTTTAGCTATAGCCTGAAGTCTTCACCACTTTATCGACTCCTGACGACAAAGAAACCTGGATGAAAGCTAATTTATTTTCAAATTTTTTTCTGCTATTTTTATGACGAGGCTCAAAACCCACTTAATGTAAATTTACGAAATGTGGTTATTGTATGGACATAGGAAGGAGAAATAAATGTACATTATTAAGAACGTACTTAGTGTGACAATAAACTGCAGAGTGGACCAAAAGTCTTGTCACCCCGGCATAATGTTCTATTTCGGATTTCTGACATGAGCTCTCACAGTGTGACAGCGTCAATGAAGGTGAATAAACTGAAACCAGTACACGTGCTTTGTATTACTGCATTACTTGTCCTTCTATTGTTCTCATTAATTTTTGCGAGGGGATGACAAGACTTTCGGACCACTTGTATATTCAGCAGCAAGGACTCTGGAGGGTTAGTTTTGACGGGCGTGGAGCCACCTGTTAATTGTTAGGGTCCCAGCTATGGGCAAACAGTGAAACCCCAAACTGGGGTCAATACAATATGCAATTATAAATATAGATTTATATAACAAAACATTTCCAGTAATAGACTTTAATACTAAAAAAGAAAAAAAATTCAAAATCTCCGAAAGAAATTAAATTAAATGACCCATGAGGATACGATATGCCGTTAAACAAACCTAACCAAACATTATTACGATACTTGCGATGTTTAACGGATGGTTAAAATTGTGCTGGTCGTCTGTTTCATAAAGTTGCGGCATTTGGCAAGAAACTGTCCAAATGGAATTTTCTTCATACCGCTAGGGGATGAAGGTGGGACACTCACCTGTATATGGTAGGGCGGGGCTTAGATGTAAATGTCTTAACTGGTGAAACGAAGGAAGGTAACGCGTCAGAACAATAGAACAACGAAATCCTTGCGACTATATTTTACAAGGCCGAAAAGCCACTCGAGATAGAGGGTTGCATAAATAAAAGAAAAGTTTTTAGACGGAACCGTTAACCGAATCCTAAACAGGAAGCAAGGGATAAATCTCTACTCTTGTTCAAAAAATCGTGAGGCGGGAGTGTGAACCGAACGTTAGGAGAACCTAACTCTTCCTATTATACAATGTGATTCATACATAAAATAGGTAACTCCTTATTTTATGTATTAGTGGCCAACCAGGAGTTCTGATTTAACACCCTCTGATTATTTTTTATTAACCTTATCCTCAAAAATAACAACACACCAACTAAGTCAAAATTACAAAGAACGAACATTATCTATGAGTTCAAATGCCCTTTAAGGAACTGCGTTCCTCACCAAACCGGACTCATAAATAATTACATCGGCTACACAACCACATGTTTATCCAGACGTTTACATTACACCTATCTGATCACAGTTACAACAGAATACATTTAAACACACACTCAGATTTACCCGACACTATTAGGAACATACTAGTAGAAAACACAAATATATTAACTGCATCCACTTGCAAAAAAAAGACTAAAAAATAATGGAAGCTCTAATAATAAAAAAGAAAAAAAGCCAACTCTTAACAATATCAACTATGAACAAAGCCACAATGTGCTAACCGTATTCGGAAACTAAAACATCACTACCACACACTGAACATACATAGAACACACTCTACTAAGCTGATAATTGAACCATCCTTGATAATGGCTAAAGGTATAGCCGAAAGCGCTCGGAAACACAGAACATTCGGACAGTTCTTACACACTCTTTGTCCAGAAAAGAAAGCTCTTGTCAGAACACAAGAAAAATTAAATAAAAAGCTCAACTGTAGTACCTTGTCTGTCGTTTTTAATGAAACATGCATATATATATATATATATATATATATATATATATATATATATATATATATATATATATATATATAATGAATTAACTGATTTAAAATATGTTTGTTTAGCTTTGATTTATAACATTTATGTTCTGTAAATTTATATTGAGCACTGTTTCGTAAAAAATGAAACATATCAATAAGATCACTGGATTATATATCTTAATGTTCTTTACATACATACATGCACACACACACACACACACACATATATATATATATATATATATATATATATATATATATATATATATATATATATATATACGTGTTTGTTTGTGTGTGTTTGCGAAGCTCGTACAAGTCTTCAACTATTGTGGAAGTATAATTTCCCAATCACAGGACAGCTGTCATAATTTGCTTGATTTGTAAATTGGCCATCACCTCACTGCGAGACACGCTTGAAATATTCTTTTATATAAATATAAGCTTACGTGGACTTATTTGCATATTCTGTGGTCATATAACACAGTCTGCGTGTTTCTTTAATATACAATTTCAATATTTTAAACATTTCAGTTTATATCAAATTATGCACGTCCAAATGATATTTTAACCATTACATGTGAATATGCGCATTGACGAAGTTATAAGCATATATTAGTTCGCCTACGAATTGTTTTGCTTCATGGTGTTGACATCATTGTAGAAATAAAAACCTGAGATTTCATCAGTCTAAAAACCACCTTTCCATTAGTCTTCATTGAGGATGATTCTGATTGATGATGATGATGACGAATTTTCATCTTTATAGAAATAAAGAACTGAAATTTCATCAGTCTAAAATCTACCTTTCCACTAGTGTTGATTGATGATGTTGATGATGATGATATTTCATCATTCTACATAAAAGGATCTGAAATGCCATCATTCTAGAAAGAACCTTTTCATCAGTGTTGATTGATAATGATGATGATATGTCATCATTCTACAAATAAAGATCTGAAACTTCATCATTATAAAAACAACCTTTCCACCTCTAGCAAATACTAGCAGCAGTAAAAAATAACGACACAGACTGGACAAGATGTATCTTCTTCGCTTCCTTAAATCCAGAGGTGACGGTTTCAATGCTTTCCTTAGCCACGAAATTCTCGGGACAATTATATACAAACCCAAAATTTTAAACAACCAAAGCGACAATAAGCCTGAGAATATTTAACACGCACAAAACCAATAAATAACATTCACGAAAAAAAATGTCATTCTTGTCATTAATTTTAACACGTGTCTCAGTCTTATTGCTGTACATTTTATTCATTCCATTTACAGTATAAAACAAGAGAGATGGAATCCTCTATCAACTACGAATACACAATTTTCGTTCCCTCCTATTGGGCAACAATATAACTAAATGCCGCCACGGATTTTCTAAAAAACCAAAAAAAATAATTTTAAATCATTTAAAAATGCCTACTTTAAACATAAATTTCTGTTCTATTTGAAATATGATCGCCTATTGGTGATCCAAATCAACAGAACAATTCATTTCCGTATATACATATATATTTCCGTATATAAATCAAATTTTAGCCAAGCATCAAATTATCGTGCTGCCATTGTATACAAGCAATGTCAAAAACATTTTTTTTTTATTCTCTTTAAAATTCAATATTTTTCCTAGACACGTGTTTCGAAGTATATTAGTAAATTTAAGACTTAATTAATTGGATGTATTAAAAGTAATTCTTACCTTCTACTGAAAACAAAATAAAAATAACGTTTTATTTACACACAGTAGCATGCGAGGTCAAAGTAGATATTAGAAACACAGTAATTCTACACCCGCATGAAAAAAGCGCGCGAAAATGTAAAAATAAAACCTAACGAAATACTAATGGCCAGCAATACAATAATCAAGAATTTGTCATTTATGTGTAAAAATAAATTTTCTTTAAATAATTGTTTAAGATTATATTTCAGATCATTAAGCAGCTTCCAAAACAAAAACACACCATAAATGTAATTTGTTTTTAGATGAATGTGAAAAGAAAAAATTTTAGGAGCATTACAGTATAATGTATTCTTTTATGCGATTGAAATATTTTCATCCTAATTCTGAAAGTTTTTTTGATGGCGAAGGGAATAAATTATGCAGGAAAATGTAAGACAGCATTTGTTTTTAAAATAATCAAAACTATTATTAGTATTATGTACACTATTTACATTATTCGGACTATTGTCCTCATCTTTGTCACCATATTTATTACAACGTTTCGGTCCTTCAGTATCTGTCTATATTTCTAAGATGAGGTATTATGTACATTATTTAAATTATTCGGACTATTGTCTTCATCTTTGTCGCCATGTTTATTACAACGTTTCGGTCCTTCAGTATCTGTCTATATTTCTGAGATGAGGTATTATGTACACTATTTACATTATTCGGACTATTGTCCTCATCTTTGTTGCCATATTTATCACAACGTTTCGGCCGTTGTACGCTCCGGTCTTCTTCAGCTAGTTGGAATGTCTGACTGAACACTTTAAGTACACATACATACTCTACGTATTCCATAGGTAAAAACTCGAACAGCTTCTACTAGCGAACTACTGCACTGTACAGTTTTCCCCATCACTATAATGTTAACCTGTTCAAATCTATATTTAACCGTTATTTTTTCCTTCTGTCCGTATAAACGACTCCTGAACGTAAACCCCTACCTCGAATAGACCCGGGCCTTGTAAAAATGACCAAATATCGAGTAAATAATCTAAACTTAGACTAAATGTAACAAACGATAAGAATTATTTTAACGTCAAAGTTTCTTTAATCATTAGACGTAATCTATTATTCTTACAAAAGCCGGAATGGTGGAGTAATTGATAGCAGCTCGGATTGAAGAATCGCAGAGCCGAATTCTAATCGGGTCCATTACTTTCACTTATGTGCTTATACCCTTGGGAAAAGTATGAATCATCTTCTCAATGCTATGGGTAAATAGCAGGACATGTAACAATAGCAGTTCTATAATCTTGGTAACAGGAGAAGGAAAGACGCCGAATTTGAAATCGACTATCTTGCGTAAGAAATGCCATTTCTACTGTGGACGTGGTGACGGATTAAACATAAATTATTTTTGAGGTTTGCTAAGTAAGAATGTAAAGAGATCGGCTGAAATGATGGTTAAAATGTATTGTATTTCCGTTGAAAGGGGAAAAACCCTACTATGGTAGAATGATTTATTTCTCCATTTTTAATTCCCCCCTTATGGGCATTGTTATATCCATGATATAATAACATCGATAGGTAATAACTGAAAGGAAGAAAAAAATGACATGCTTTGAGAGACAGGAACTCTTTTTTATAATAATATGACATTCAGAAAACTATATATATATATATATATATATATATATATATATATATATATATATATAACTTGACTTGACTTGTATTGGTTTTCATCATGGTCGGGTTGAACCGGCTTCCTCCCGAGCAAGTACAGCAT